GCCCCGGCCAGCGCCCTGCAGAGCCTGCCGGTGGGTGCCGCGCCGGGGCCGGGGCCTTCTCCAGCGGGTGCCGCCCCACAGATTTCAAGCAGAGCCACCGCCAGATTTGGGGTTAGGGGGGAGGTTCACCGCACGGTCAGATGGGAGCGGCCCGGGCAGCCGCCTTCCTCTAGCCGGGCCTGTGGGGGTTCCTAGAAGCCGGGCGTTGTCTGTCCTGGTTCCTGAGGGCGCCTGGTCCCTGTTGTGTCGGGGTTGGCGGTGGTCGGCGGGATGGGACTCTTTGGATAGGGGTGATCCTGCCTCAGGCGGGGCTTGCACGAGTCAGCATTTCTCGATGACCCAAAAGCGGGTTGTGAGAATATATGAAAGGGTCCTGGACAAACTTGAGAATTGGATTCTCCTTTAAAGGAGGAAAACACTGGATTTCGCCTTGCAGGCTGGTGGAGTTGCAGCCTGCTAGGAGCTGCTTGGGCCTCCCCCTTCCCCACACACTGGGGCAGGGGCAGCAGGTCAGGACTGAGGGACGCTGGTCCCGGACGGGCCCTCGATGTTTGCAGATGGGTCCTGGTACAACAAAGGCTGAGACCTGCTGCACTGGATGACCTCAAGGTCCCTTCCAGGGTGGCTGTTCTAGGAGTCCACAAAATCCTTCCAACCGAGGGGTCTTTCTGAGTCCTTTGCAGCAGAACGGCTCTATTAATTTCCCCCCGTCAAAAACTAAGTGGAAACTAAGAGGTGGCATTTTCTGAGGGGTGCCTTAAGTCTAACGAGGTTGAGAACCACTAGCCTAGCTCTTTGGGGTCTGCTGGTTAAGCATGCTGCAGGGACACCCTCACTGGCACTGCACCAGGGAGCTCAGGAAGGAAAGTGTGGGGGCCCCCCAGAGCAACATATTAGCTTACCTGCTGCTTTGCTGTTGCCTGTGCCAGAAATAGTATGAGTGGAAAGGGGGAATGTTTGGACTAGTACCCCTTTGCCCCATAGCTGCACTTCCAGCCTTCTCTTGCCCCCCCCCCCCC